TGATGGATGGATGGATGGATGGATGGATTGATGGATGATGGATGGATGATGGATGGATGATGGATAGATAGATCGATAGATAGATAGATAGATAGATAGATAGATAGATAGATAGATAGATAGATAGATAGTCAGATTATAGATAGATAGATAGATAGATAGATAGATAGATAGATAGATAGATAGATAGATAGATAGATAGATAGATAGATAGTCAGATTATAGATAGATAGATAGATAGATAGATAGATAGATAGATAGATAGATAGATAGATAGATAGATAGATAGATAGATAGATAGATAGATAGATAGATAGATAGATAGATAGATAGATTTAACCCATGTTCTTTTGAGAGAGAAAAAAATCATTGTATTGTCCAAATTCATGTGAGAATGTTTTTTTTTTATCACATTTTTTATTCTTTGACAACATTCCCTTTAATGAATCTTTCTGGTGCTGGTTTCTGACATCCATACCATGAGTTCATTCCGCATGGCAAAGGTGCAGTCAGATCATTACCTTACTTGCTAATTGAGGTTGACAAGCCAACAAACACCCTGCAAAGCTTTACATCAGAACAGATAGGGCACATTTCAGAGGTCAGAGGTCAGAGGTCAGAGGTCAGTACACTGAGAGAGAGAGAGCTGTAAGAGACAGGAACACTGCAGCGATACTCACTCGACGTATTTGGCCCACTGCGCAGGTTCAGACATGGCCATGAAGCAGCAGTTGGTCAAAATAGTGCACATAATGAAAAGACTGAATAAAGTAGCACCGGTTAAGGAAAACTGTAAAAAAAAACAAGAACATTTTCGTATAATGAAATCTCTTCAATATTAATTTTTTCCTAGCCCATAATGGGATCAAATGGAGAGCAGATGAAGACTTTTGCTTCTCAGACGTTTCTCCTGAATAAATGATTTCCGTAATTATTAATAATGCCTCAAACTGTGCTCATGTGCTCAGACCTGTTAAGAAACCAAAGTCTTTAAATCAGAAATCTCAACTCAAACATTTCTCATCAAATAATCACAGCTGCTCCACATTCATACTTCTATATTCTTACTGTATGACTAATGATTAACTTCTGTTTGTTTTTACTGCTAAAACATTTTCTGTTTTGGAAGAAACAAGCTCCGGTGTTACGCATTTATTATATATTTTTTAAATATATATATATATATTTTAAATATATTTTAATGATAATAATTAACAAGATTATTATTATTAATAAATAAATATTTATTTGGAATATTTACAAGTAATATTTAGAAATGGATTATAATATTTAGAATTATATTTTTATTAATATTTAGAATTAGTTTCTATTTTAAATAGATTTTCAGTTTTTTTTGTTTTTTTTTGTTAGTTTTATTAATTTTGATGTTTTTTATTTTTCTATTTTTATTTTTGATGTTTCTGTATCTCTTTCTCTTTATTTATATATATATACATTTATTTATTTATTTATTTTATTTAGTAATTTAGCAGACGCTTTTATCCAAAGCGACTTACAAATGAGGACAATAAATATGCATACATACATTTAATATTTAATAAAATAAAACAACTGTAATTTTGCTGTATTTATATATTTTTTATTATTTTTTGTCTTTTTTTTTTTTTATATGTGCATAAATAAAATCAATGTTAATTTAAAAAATATATATTTTTATTATTTTAATTATTTATTTTAATATTTTAAAAAATAATTTTGTTTTTATTTCAGCTACAACATTTCTCGTTTTCATTTAGTTTAACTTGATGTGCTAAAATAACTCAAAATAAAACCAAAATCTAGAAGATATTAATATGAGAGGACTGTGAAGGGCATTATTTAGTCATTTAAACTCTATAAGTGATTATTTCATAAAGTGTAAGAGATCATTGAGATTTCAAACTTTCTCCATCTTATGCATACCTTACATCAGGATGATGGATGTTTTCACGACAGGGCTTGATTACAGGGTTTTAATGAAGGACTAAAAGCTCGTATCAGTAAATGACAGCCGCTTTTTCTTCCACATGACGCTGAAAATTACAGTTCTGTGATCAGATCGTGGGACTGGAAATACAGTGCTCTAATGAAGAACACCTACCATGTTTTATTTTGGTCTTCGTACACTTTAAGAAGCGCTTTAAGGCGTCCGTGTACGAGTGTAATTCACACTAATCATGCCCACAACCTCCAAACTTCAAGCGCTTTACAGCATCTCGCCGTTTAATGAACTTTTACCTGTGAACGGCCTTTAGATGCTTTCTCTTTTTATTTCTGATGCTGACGGATTGATAGACAGAACGTGGACAGTTTCCACTCGATGGCTTTTAAATGGACAGTAATGAGTGCAATTATGGTTAAGAGGTTAAAGATTTGTTCTTTAGTCCTATAAATGTATTATTCTCTTCTCGTGCCTCTGCTTTTGCCGTTTCCAGAGCGAGTCGTGACGGTGAACAAAGACGTCCTGAACGGAAAAAGAACATCTCAAAAGCTAGCGGAGAATATAGCCCAGATCTGACATGTGAATGATATGTTTGGGAATTTCTGATGAATACTTAATATCCAATAGAATCTGACATTTGCAGTTAAGTGGACAATTAGTGGAAATTATTTCCAGCATTTACAAGTTACAGTTAAATTCGCAATTATGGTCTGGATCATTTTTATGTATATTAATTTAATAAAATATTTTAATTTTTAATCTATCATTTCTATACTTTAATCTACATTAAGTCTATGTTATTTTATATAGATTTTAATCTGAATCTATTTATTTATTTACTATATTTATTTATTATATATATATATATATATATTCATTATGCTATTTTATTATTTATAAAATTATTATTATTATTATTATTTGATTTTGTTTCATATTTATGCATTTATTTACTTATTATATACATAGTAAAATAAATAATAAAATAAATAAATCATACAGTTCATACATGCAATCTCTTTCTAGTGTTAATTTATGTATTTTTAAATAAATATAATTTTTTTTATATATATATTTAAATACAAAATATTATAAAATTAAATATATATATTTTAAATAAATATATACAGTGGGTACGGAAAGTATTCAGACCCCCTTAAATTTTCACTCTTTGTTATATTGCAGCCATTTGCTAAAATCATTTAAGTAAATTTTAATTTATTTTCATTCCCAGCGGTGAGCAAAGCCATTTCTTCGCTCGTTTTGTTTGGTTTATATTTCTGTATTGTTGTGCTGGGTAGCTCCGCCCACAGTGAAATCTCATTGGTTCTAAATCCTGATGCTGTTTATTCAACAGCAAACATGTTCTGATTGGCTGAGACTGGCGCTTTCAGTGTGAACAGACACATTTCTTGTCAATGGAAACTTTCCATCTTCCGAACGCACTGTTCGTGACAATCAAAGGCCTGCGCTACACAACAACAGCTCTGGAGAAATCCTCCGGAGTCTCCGTGTCATCCGAGGACATGTTTATGGCTGATTCTTTCTCTGAGAGGCCGCTTTTGATCGCCGCCTGATTCTCAGATTTTAGTAATGAGCTCAATCACTCGAGCGGTCTCTCGCATGAATGCGCTCTTGTGCCGCTGCTTAATCAAACATGTTTCCTGGCTCCGGCTCTCGCGGGAAATCTACTATTAGCTCGGATGTGTGCCGTCTGTGTGGGCGCCTGAACCGATCGAATGCATCGCACAAACACTTATGAGTCGTCACAGGTGGCCCTTAACACACTTCTGCTAGCGTCTGAGTGAGGGCCACGAGAGAGCGGAGAAGTTTAGAGAAAAATAATCATAATAATAATAATAATAAATACAATTAAACTAACTAAGTAACTATATTAATTAAATGAATAATAAAAAATAGAAATACATATATAATGAAAATGGACTTAAAAACAAAAATCAATAAATAAATAATATAAAATAGAATAGTTAATAAATAATAAAAATTGATTTAAAGTAAATAAATAAAACATTGATTTAAAATGAATGAATAAATAAGTAAATAAATATATAAATAGATTAATATAAATAAATAAAATTAAATGACTAATAAAAATATATTTAAAATAAATATGTTAAAATAAATAAATGACAATTAGAATAAAATAAATAATAAAAACTGAATAAAATCAAACAATCAATAAATAATTATACAAATAAGAAATAAGATTAAAATCAATGAGCAATAAAAAAGAGTTTAAATAAATAAAAGCAATACAAATAAATAATATAAATTAGAATCAGAATAATAATTAGATTTATGTAAATGTAAAATGTAAATGCAATTTAAAATAAATAATAATCAGAATAAAATCAAAAAAATTAAGATAAATAGATTACTATAAACAAATAAAAAGAAAAAATCGATTAAGATAAAATTAAATTAAATTATAAAAACATTTCAAATAAATATATAATATAACAATAGTAATAATAAATTTAATAAATATTTAATGATTAGATTATAATTAAATATTTTTTTAATTCAAATAAATAAATTGAAATTGAAATAAATAACAGCTAACAGTACTACAGTGGGTATTAAAAACATGATGTTATGTAAACGCTAATATTCTAAACATCTAAATATAGATTATAAATATATGGCCCAATGTATAGTGTTAATTTTCTGCCACGACAGGATTTTTTCTTATTTTTCCCCAAATGTGACCCTGCAGCACAAAAGCAGTGTTAAGTCGCTGGGGGATATTTGTAGCAATAGCCAACAATACATTGTATGGTTCACAATTATACATTTCTCTTTTAAGCCAAAAATCATTAGGATATTAAGTAAAGATCATGTTCCATGAGGATATTTTGTAAATTTCCTACCGTAAATATATCAAAACTTAGTTTGTGTTTAGTAATATGCATTGCTAAGAACTTCATTTGAACAACTTTAAAGATGATTTTCTCAATATTTAGATTTTTTTGCACCCTCAGATTCCAGATTTTCAAATATTGTCCGATCCTAACAAACCATACATCAATGGAAAGATTATTTATTCAGCTTTCAGCTGATGCATACATCTCAATTTTGAAAAATTCCGACCCTCAAGACTGGTTTTGTGCTCCAGGGTCACATTTATATTTTAGGATGGGGGTCCCTCGTATCCGTGTTGATCCACAGGCTTGACCAGGCCTGCGTTAGACAGTGCGTCAGCGGAGTGTGTCAGCTTTATATCACACGAGGCTCCACTTACGCTGATATCGAGCGGCTGGGTGTGAGGTGAAGCGGAGGCGCAGTCGACCGGCGAAACACCTCCAGCGCAACCCTCTTCACCTGCTTATCAGCGGCACAAGAGCAAAGTGTCCACGAGCCCGGTCTCTGAACACCGCCGGATATTTTTAGCAGGAGTGCTCTGGGATAAAAGCACAGCCATCTGAACATGCCTCATTCTTGGCATAGCCTCTGAATGTCAGAAAGCGGCTGATCGCTGTTGTGCTGTACGGTTGTCAGCGTTCAACTTTGTACCAGATGTTTCTCTAAAAAGTCTCACAGAAGAGTCGATAGTTGGCATACAGTAACACTGTGTCTTAACTAGAGGCAATGTGATCATGCAGTGAGGACGATTTGTTGCTCAGCTGTTTTCTCATTCTGCAGCATTGCACCGAGTAGCCCCGCCCACCGTGGAATCTGATTGGCTGGACGCTAAACATCAAATGTATTCTGATTGGCTGTGATCGTGTCACATTGCACAGAAGTCTGGAACAGTGTTATTTTAGTATCATTGGGATTCAAATCAATTTAGTTTTATTTTTAGATTTTCAATTTTCATTTCAATTTTAGCTGAAGATTTAGTCATTTTATTGTGTGTTTTTGTCAGGGATTTTTATATGTATCTCTCTCTCTCTCTCTTTTAGTTCTTCAAGTTAAACTAAAAGAGAAATGTTGCTTTGGCAAATAGTTGAAAAAATAAATAAATATATAAAATATATTTTGTTTTAACATTTTAACGAATATATATGTTATATTACATTAATATAAAAAAATTTTATGTTTCAGTTAAAGTTTTTTAAACAAGATTTTTTTTTTTTGGTTGATTTTAATGGTTGTAGTTTTATTTTCAGTCAAATAGCTGAAAGCAAAACAGCAAAAAGCTGAATTTTGTAAAATAAAATAAAATAAAATAAAATAAAATAAAATAAAATAAAATAAAAATATATATATATATACTGTATGTATGTATGTATATAAAAAGTGTAATTTATATAATTATTGTGGATTGAATGGCTCAAATAATCTGGAGAGAAATCTCTGGCTTTGATTGTAGACTTTCTCCATTTGCTCTCCATGTATTCTCATCGCTCAGACAAGCAAGATAATTTGTGTTTTTCTGAGCCAGTTTCTTCATGCATTATTGTTTCTTGCTGAATATTTCAGCTCTTGACTTCAAACATGCAAAATATATTTCAACAACGCCTCAGAAATCCTGTAATGTTGGTATATAAACGCTCATTCACAATCAGTGCAGACGTGCAGAACTCAGCGTGTCACCTTCAGCGGCAGCAGAAAGGATATGAGTGTACTAAAATCCTTATTGATGCTCTTCTAACGAGATGAAAAGGGCTAAAAATATAGAGTGCAGACGTGGCACTAAACCGGAAGATGGCCTTCCCTTTGTTCAGTACTATAAAAGTCTGTTGAGAAAGAAGAGAAAGGTTAGTTAGCGCGACAAAAACTCAGCAGTGACTTTTAATATCAAACACCACGTGAACCTCAAACATTTCTGAAACACGAGCGGGAGGAATTTCTGAAAATGGCTTATTGAACCATATGCACAATATGCTCCTGTTTCAGAAATGATGCCCAATATGATGCCCGCTTCTGGAAATATATATTTGCAACACATTTCTGGAGGACATAAAAGGTGAAAATGAGTTGCTCACCAAAGACTGCATTTATTTGATCAAAATCAGTGTAAAAATAGACGGATGGATAAATAAAATATATATATATAAAATAACTAACTAACTAAATAAATAAATACAATTTTGTTTAAAATCATAAATAGTAAATTATTACATTTTGATCTAATATAATTTGAATAAAATAGATAAGTAATAATAATTAGATTTAAAATAAATTAATGGATTAACATAATAAATAAATAATTAAAGAAAATTCTATATGAAAAATACATTCGAAAAATTAAATACCATAATACAAAAACTGAGAATAAATTTAAATTTAAATTTTTATTTAGTGATTTTATTCTCATTTTTTATATTTATTTTATATATGTTTCAAATAAATAATAATAATTAGAATAAAAAAATGCAATAAATAATACAATTTAGAATAACAAATAATAAAATATATAAGTAATAATAATTAGATTTAAAATAAATTAATGGATTAACATACTAAATAAACAATTCAAGAAAATTCTATATGAAAAATAAATTCGAAAAATTAAAATAAAATACCATAATACAAAAAAATTAGAATAAAATTTTAAAAAAATTGTTTTTTAATGTTTATTTAGCGATTTTATTCTCATTTTTAATATTTATTTAATATATGTTTCAAATAAATAATAATAATTAGAATAAAATAATGCAACAAATAAGAATAAAACAATAAATAATAAAATATTAGATTTTGAGTAAATAAATAGATAAAAATAAATAAATAAATAAATAATAAAAAGTTCGATTTTAAATAAATAAATAATCATTTAAAAATCATATTATCACAATATTATTATAATAACAATAATATGAAATATCATTACAATTCGAAATAACTCTTTTCTATTTTAATATATTTTAAAATATAATTTATTCCTGTATTGGCAAAGCTGAATTTCCAGCAGCCAGTCTTCAATGTCACATGATCCTTCAGAAATCATTCTAACACATCTGATACATCTGCTACGTTTGTTTGCTCAGGATCCTTTGATGAATAGAATGTTCACAAACAGCACTTGTTTGAAATCTAAATCTTCTGTTACATTATCAGTGTAACACCTTCGAATGCATCTATACTGAATAAAACTGTTTTTTGGTGATAAGAGCATATAAATGCATTGTTGGAACAAGCTGTGATTATAATGATAAAGCAGGACGCGATGCTCGGAGTGCAAACAACAGGCAGATACATTACTATGGGCTCAGCGGGAGGACCGGCGCTCTCGGGGGACTCCCGTCTGTCGCGGGAGAGCGGCACAAACACACCTCACGGTTGCCCAGGATTCATGGCCCCCTCGCAGAGCTCCCCGTCTCATAAATAATGGCAGAATAATTGCAGACGGACAGCATCAGGGTCAGCGTGTTTTACAGCTCCAGCAGGAGCCGCTCTCTTGGCCTTTGTAACCTCTGCAAATAGCTGGCTTTCTCCGACCCTTGTGTTCTCTATTCTTACGTAACATCTAGGTCAAGTTTGCCTGTGTTTGTTTCCACTTTCCTCACATTTCCTCTGGGATATCATCTGCCAACTGCAGGTCCACATGAGCGGATCTGGAGAGGGCAGAGGGAAATCCAAGCCAAACGCTCAGAAGTAAGTACATGCACAACACATCCACCACCAATAGTTCAGTCAGAAATGAAACGTCTGTCATCATCTGTGCTCAAAACACAAAGCCAGTTATCCAGTAGACTTGCCAAGCTTCGAATGAGATTTGAGGCCTAATGCTAAAAGCGAGGTTTGAAGAGAACGAGCTCAAAGCTATCATATGAATTCAGAAGACTTGTAATATAGTGCACTAGTGGTTTAAAAGACGACTGATATTTATATAACTAAATTATCGTCTGTAGAGCTGCTTTACAGGCAAAATCGAATTTGATTCATGACTGATGAACATTACAACAATATATAATAAAAATGTGATTTCAAACAAACAAATAAAATCATTATGTATACATTATTAATAATAAATTATGAAATATTATTATCATTTAAAATAGCTGTTTTCTATGTGAATATCTGTTAAAACGTAATTTATTCCTGTGACCAAACCTACATTTTCAGCAATGATCCTTCATTCTAATTCATTTGCTACATTTGAAATAATTTGATGCATTTGAAAGCATTTATTTGAAACAGAAATATTTTGTTACATTATAAATGTCACTTCTGATCAATTGAAATTTGATTTTGTTTCCCGCTTGATAATTTTTACAACATTAACAATCTTATTGAACTGAACTGAATCAACATTGAACTGAATTGCTCTGAATGACACTATTGTCGTCTTTAGCTGAAACTGAAACTAACTTCCAAATGAATCAACTTTGCAGCCTTCAACTGAGTTGAATCAACACTTAACTCGATCATTTAGAGCTGCTTTCCAGTTGAAATTGAATTTGTTTCAGTTGTGATATGGAGCACCAAACCTGCAGAAATGATCAATAAATAAATCTAGCAATTAGAAAAGAATTACAGGAAAAATGACTTGTAATAAAATTTAGTCCTAAGTAAATTTTTGTATTACTATTGATTATTTTCTGTATTTATTTTTTTACATTTATTCTTTCATTTTTTATTTATTTTACAGATATGTATGTGTTAATTCATATTTATATCAAAACCCCTTTGGTGTTTTGTAACATCATACACTCTCAGAAAAAAAGGTACAAAAGCTGTCCTTTGCAAAAGCTATTATGCACCATTTAGGCACAAATATGTACTTCGCTTTAGAGCTAAATGTGAGCCTGCAGCACAAAAGCAGTGTTAAGTCGCTGGGGGATATTTGTAGCAATAGCCAACAATACATTGTATGGGTCACAATTATACATTTCTCTTTTATGCCAAAAATCATTCGGATATTAAGTAAAGATCATGTTCCATGAAGATATTTTATAAATTTCTTTCCGTAAATATATCAAAACTTAATGTTTGATTAGTAATATGCATTGCTAAGAACTTCATTTGAACAACTTTAAAGATGATTTTCTCAATATTTAGATTTTTTTGCACCCTCAGATTCCAGATTTTCAAATATTGTGCTATCCTAACAAACCATACATCAATGGAAAGCATATTTATTCATCTTTCAGATGATGTATAAATCTCAATTTCGAAAAATGGACCCTTATGGCTGGTTTTGTGCTCCAGGGTCACAAATAAGACACAAAAGTGCACCTTTAGAAAAGATACCGTCCCAGTGACAGCTTTTGTACCTTTTTTCCTGAGTACACTATACTGTAGTGAGTAAATGACAGCAGTTTTATACTGAGTGAATGAACTCCAGTGGAACGCTTCTCTTCTTCTGAATGTGCTTTATCACTCACAGAGCTCGACGGTGTCAACAAGCACACAAACCAGAGAAGTGTGAGAGCCACGTGGAAACATAGCGATCATTTTTCACCAGGCCAGTCCATGATACGCTAAAGTCAAACCAGCAATGTTGTGAGCCCAGATTAGTTTATAATTATGAACATTATTAAATTACTGACGCCTGCGATTTCCTTGATAGAAGTGTTTATTGTCTGGATGTGGCTGTTATGTAAGGATGCTAAACTAATCCAGTCCAAACAGGGTTTAAGACATAATATTTCATTTTCTGAAAATGAGTGTCGGCTTGCAAAAATATCAAAGGGCGAGGCCTTTAATAGAAGGAGTCCTGTTAAGTGTCAATTCATCTTTCTTAGCATTAGCCACCGGCTTAGAAAAGCCTAAACAGAAAAAGCCTCACCGAAAATGGCATTTAAAGAGTTTCGAGTCAAACTTTTCGCTGAAATCCATAGAAATGGAGATGTGTGTGCTTGTGAAAGCCAGCGCAGCAGCGGTGGCATTAACAGCGGCTCACTGACTCATGCTATTCATCTGTCTGTATTCCTGCAGCGCAAACACATCCGCTGCCCTTTACTGACGCTCATTGTTTGCTTCTGGTTTTTTGCTCATATTTAAACCCTTCGGACCAAGGTAGAGAACTGGGATGTTTCTGATCTCAAACGTCTGTGAATATGCAGGTCAAAATGTACAGGTAAACCACTGAAAAACACAAAAATATGTTTCTAAAAGCACCTCACGCTGCCTCATTTTCAGTGTTGGGAAGGTTACTTTGGAAATGTAATAGGTTAGAGATTACTCTATTTAAAATGTAATAGTGTAACGTTTTCAATTACTTTATTAAAGTAATGTAACTGATTACTTTTGATTACTTTTCTAAATTTCATTTTCAAACATTTACACCATGCAGGGTTAACCTTACAGTAGTGCTGTACTTGAATTAAGATGATCAGATTTGAACACATCCACCACAAAATCAGACTTTAGTGCCGCCTTTTACTTTGAGATTGATCTGAAGCTCAATGCAGATTTAAAATCATAAGAAATAGTTTACTGTGACTGCTTTTGAAACCCAAATCTTTGCATAACTACAGGAAACACTGCATCTAACAACGGTTTGGAAAAAAATAGTTAGTTAAAAATAATAATAAATAAAAGCATATACAGTACATCAACTCAAATACGGTTATCTAATATGCATGTGTCCTATTCTGTGTACTAAACTCCTGAAACATTGCTGTCTCTTTGTATTTGATATGATGATAGTTTTCTCAAAATAAGTCAGATGCTCATGAAGTGACTCAGAGCAGTTCTAGAGATTATGTTTATGTGTTCATGTACTCATATATTGAGGCGGCAGAGGCTGAAAACACCGCGAGCTTCAGTAAATGAAACGGCGTGTCTGCGCCATTCATTTCCACGAGGGGCTGACTGGGAAAAACATTTCAGGCCGGGAAATCTCACACTCATACACCCACAACAGATTCTGAAACATGGACAACCCTATTTTTTGTTTGGACCTCAGATAAAAAAGGATTAAATCCTTAGGTTGGGGACATGCGAAATAATTAAAAGTTCTCTCCTGAACTGCACCTTCACTTCCATTTTTCTTTTCAGTCTCTTTATTTTGCCCTGATATCTATCTCTCACATGACTTTAATACTCAAGCTTTAACAAAACTATACTTTCTAAATTGCCTACATGTCAAAATTAGTACATCTTTATAGAAAAATCCTAATACTGACCACGAGTCATGTTTTTCCCTTACAAAAATGAACCATGCTTTTAGTAACCATGTTTTTTTGGGGGGGTTTTTGGCAAGTGGATTACCATTTGTATTTATTTGTACTACTTTAACATGGTTAAACTATGGTTAGTGTAGCAAAAACCATGGTTAATTTGTGGTTACCATTGGTTTAACAATAGTAACCATTGTCTTTGGATTTATAGTAAAATCATTGTTAATTTTCGTAAGGGTTGTGTTGTTGTCTGCCCTAGCTCCCCCTAAACCTATTACAAAATATGATTATTTGTCTGCTAAATGACTACTGTAACATTACAGTAGATAATAATGATGTCCTTTAGTATACAGTATTTTGAGAGATGACTGATGAGCAATGGGCTGCTGCTGCTTAACCAAGTAAACAAAGATAAAACTACAATAGCATATTTACAGATGAAACTGACCTGCTCTTGAAACCCTGAACAGTAGCGTTGCTTCTCTGCTCCACCTGTGTGCTTCCACAGTCCTCTCCATTCTCTCTCTCGCATTGATTACTCTGATCTGATCCAAACCGAGCTGAAGCATTGCCAGTCACGACTAACCCATTCATGATTTATTAGAGATTTAATCATCGAATGGTGAATTCGGAAATAATCGCTTTAGTACATTCGGCAGGCAACTATACAATAATAATATTAAAATAGCGGGCCAAATCGGCTGCCAGGCCACCGGGAATTGTCCCGGTTCTCCCGATGGCCCATCCGCGCCTGATTTCCACAGACACACAGAACCTGCAGGATTCATATATTGTCTTTTTGCGGCTTAATATTCACAGACACTAGTCCATGTCGCGTTTTGATTCAAGTTTACTAACCTACTTTTGATTTATTCGTCCAAAATGTGACATATTCCGTCCACGTTAGGCTATCGTTTTTATGACTGGATTCTACGAACCAGTCTGTGTTTTCCGCATCGCGGAAATTATAGGGCCGTATGTCTCAGAGTAATCAGTGCAATTTGGGAAAGAAATCAATTAAATCTGTATGTGGATGTGTGTAAATATTCAAATGTAATCCCCTTTGTAATCGGTAACATTTTCATAAGTAACTGTAATTTAATTACGCATTTTTTCTTAGTAACTGTAACTGATTACAGTTACATTTATTTTGTAATTAAATTACGTAACGCCGTTACATGTAACTAGTTACTCCCCAACACTTCTCATTTTTGCCTAAAGCAGCATCGTTTGCGATGGCAAATGCATCGTGACAAGCTCAGTGACCAAATTAATTGAAGATGAATCCAAAATGTTTTCAGTCATTTGAAAATGTAATATTGTGCCCAATATGCGTGTTCTATGCATGACAATATGCGTGTTCTATGCATGACAATATGCGTGTTCTATGCAAATGTATGCTTATTAGAGCGTTGCATTGTTTAAAAATAAGCTAACTGCAAACTTTAAATCAGGCTTCTGCTGAATTTCACATGAGAAACACTTACTGTATGACACAGGTTTCATTTCAGTAAAGATACTGACTTAAATGTGGCTAAAATAATTCATAATGAATTTTACAACTATCCAACCGTAGCCAAATACATGCATTACACTCACGTAAAGCAATACATATTATATAGCTAATAATGGCTGCGTGATTGTTTATTCTGTCGTAAAATGTAACTATATTATTGCCTGGCAATATATTAAAAGTTTGATATACAACTTTTACACATACATGCGATATACTATATAGCAAATCTCTGCTGCACGATTGTTTATATTGTTGCAAAATGTAATTACATTATAAGCCAGTTCTTTATATAAAGTTGTATATATATATTTTTAAGTCAGTGTAGCCAACTTGATTTGCAGTATGCATTCAGTTATTCGCATAAATGCACTCACTTGCAATACAGCGATATACATTATGTAGCAAATCTCAAGTGCGTGATTTTTTATATTGTCACAAAATATGACTATGTTATCGCACAGCTTTATATATAAAGTTCGATATATAGTATATACTAATTTTTTCACATATTTTTATTCACGTAAAGCGATATATACTTTATGTATACTAGATGTAACAAATCTCAACTGCTTGATTGTTTATCTTGTCGCAAAAATATTATCACTTAGCTCTTTATATAAAGTTGAATATACACATAGTATATACATATTTATGTAAAGTGGTATATACTATATAGCAAATCTTGTCTGCTTGATAGTTTATATCATAAATCTAAGTGCGTTTATGTCAAGCGATATATATACTATATAACAAATCTTAACTGTGTGTTTATATTGTGGCAAAATGTAAATATATTGTTGCTCAGCTCTTTATAGAAAGTTTATATGTGACCCTGGACCACAAGACCAGTCATAAGGGTCCATTTTCTTAAATTGAGATTTATGCATCATCTGAAAGCTAAGATAGGACAATATTTGGCTGAGATACGACTATTTGAAAATCTGGAATCTGAGGGTGCAAAAAAATCTAAATATTGAGAAAATCATCTTTAAAGTTGTTCAGATGAAGTTCTTAGCAATGCATATTACTAATCAAACATTAAGTTTTGATATATTTACGGTAGGAAATTTACAAAATATCTTTACTTAATATCCTAATGATTTTTGGCATTAAAAAGAAAAATTGATCATTTTGACCCGTACAATGTATTGTTGGCTATTGCTATAAATATACCTGTGCTGCTTATGACTGCTTTTGTGCTCCAGGGTCACATATAAGGTATAGGTATATATAAGGTCACACATATACACTCACATAGCCATATATACAACATAGCAAATCTTAGCTGCTTGATTGTTTGTATCATCACAAAAAGTAGCTATATTATTGCACAACTCTATGTTATATAAAGTTGGATATATAATATATCTTATGCACATAGTGAAGATATTAGGATATTATAAACATTAACATCATGATTTTCTGTAAAGCTTGTCTAAAGGCAATTTGGTGAATCTTTATCCTCATCTCAGCAGTAATCCATAAAGCATGTTCAGACTATATGGTCTGCTGTGGAGCCGATCACTCACCCTCTTGTTCTGGAAGTAAAACGGATCGATGTCCTCCAGAGGCACGCCCACCAGTCCAGGAGGAATGTCTCCAAAGATGCGCGGGAGCTGCTTTCCGGCCTCCAGGTCGGCGCGGGACTTGAGCAGCTCCACGTCGCCCAGGTCCTCCTGGTACTTCTTGGCATTGCGGGCCTCCTCCTCGGCGATCCGCTGCTCGATTCCAGCCAGGGACTCACGAGTGAACCGGTGTAGACTGTCAGGACCCGGTGGAAACAGTATGGCTGCCATCTTCTCATCCTGAGCCTCCTGTCTAAGTGGTTACTTCACAGCTGGTGAGGAGAGAGGAACATACTGTATTATTGCGTTCAGATTGCATTCTCAATTTCATCGAAATATCAGCTTTATCTCAGATATTTCTTCTTTTTCTCCCATCATATTATACTTTTACACAGAGATTGGTAGGTCTGTTAGTAAAATCTCTTAACTCTAGTAATCTTTGTTGCAGTATTTGCCAATGGTGACTGTTCAAAAATGGAGAAAAAACACTTTTTGAGTTTTTTTTCCAAAGTGTGCATGGCTATAACTCAAGAAGTATTAAATATATCCTAATATCCATTTAGATGTTTGTTTTTAACAAACATTTCTTTTAGCATCTTAATTTTTAAGGCCCTATATAAGTCAAGACCAGAGATATTGGAATCTCAATGTGGCTCCAAGAATAGATATGACATTTTCACCTGACATTTGTTGCCAAATTACAGGGGCAGGAAAATAACTTTAGAAAGATGGCAGCATAATAATTTTAGTTTTACACAGAAATTGGTAGGTTTATTAGTAAAATCTGTTAACTTTAGCAATCTTTGTTGCAGTATTTGCCAATGGTGACAGTTCAAAAATGGGGGGGAAAACACTTTTCGAGTTTTTTTCCAAAGTTTGCATGGCTATAATTCAATAAGTATTAAATATATCCTAGCATCCTTTTACAAGTTGGTTCTTAATATTTTTTTCTTTAAGCATTCTCATTTTGAAGGCCCTATATGATTCAACTCCAGAGATATTTGGGTTTAAATATGGCTCCAAGAGTAAATATCTGAAGACTGAAGACTTGAGTAATGGCTGCCGAAAATTCAGCATTGTATCACAGAAATAAATTACATTTTTAAATATATTAAAATAGAAAACAGTTATTTTAAATGGTAATAATATTTCACAATATTACAAATAAATGCAGCCTTGGTGAGCAGAAGAGACTTTTTTCAAAAACAATACATTTATTATGTATTAATTTAATTAACTTTATTATTCTAAACTTTTGACCAGTAGTATATGAAATATGAATTTTCATTGCAGACTTTGGTATATTGGCAAATCTGAGTTTGAGACATTGTATAGATTATATATATATATATATATATATATTATCTAGAGGAAGTTATATTGGTTTATTTCTCAGGAAAAACATCTTTGCAAAACATCACGAAAAGAAATTAATTAAAAGAAAGTTTGTGGTAACTTTAAGAGGTTATTTACAATGATTTTTAAGATATTTCTTTCAATTCTTCTCAAGTTTTTGGAACAATTCTAAGAAAAAAACCCTGAATATTCTAAAAAATGTTTTTGGATTCCAAAATATTCTTAACTTTATTCTTACGTTAGAAAATAAGAAGAAAATAGCTGGTAATGAAAGAATTAAAAGAAATCATTTTATTCTTAAGAAACCTTTGTGAATCAAAAGACCAGTTGCTCTCCATTGTTGCCTATGAGAAACAATAGAGTTGCTTTGCAAACTCCATGAACTTCACTGCTCGTAATTATCTTCATGAAGCCCCCAGAACCGTGTCCTGTGTTTGATCTTTATGTTTTGATCCACGTGTCTCTCATTCAGACTCATTACAGCAGCTGGTCTGTAGTGCCATCGTTTCGCTCAATTGGACGCGAACAAACAGGACACTCTCTCTGACGACACGAGTGCGACTGATGCTGCTGCGTGTCTGTAACTCAGAAGATACTATTATCCACATCAGACCGGCTCCAGAGCCGAGCTGTGCTCTTAACACAGATCGGACCATCTGTTCCTCCGTTCCACTGAATGACTGGACGAGAGATCATTTCTCATCTGCCACAAATCTCTCGGCACAATGGGAACATCTGCACTGAACCTCTGAAATCCCAGCCATAGCTGAGCTCAAACAACGGCTCACCATCTCAACAAGTGGCTCCTTCAAACCTCAGCCAGATGTTTAGTCTAAACATTCAGCGCTCATGGACATTAGAGTTAGGAGATGATGATTATGGGCCAGTCGATGGTAGAAACGTCTCAGATGGTAGAGATTTTGCTATACCACAGTACTATAGTATCTGCGTGGTTAGCAGTGCCATTTTAGTATTTATTAGTCATTTTTAGTAATATTTTGAATTGGATTTTATCTTTAGATTTGAATTTTTAATTCAAGTTTAATTTTCAGTAATTTTGTCAAACGTGTTTTCATCATTTTTATTATTTATTTAATTTTTTTATATTACTATTTAGGTTTAAATTATTTTATTTTTATTTATTTATTTTTTTTTAGTTAGTAATTTTAGTATTTTAACTTTAACTTATATTTCAGCTAAGACAATATTTCCAATTTTTCATCCAATGCTACTATTTATTTTTTACTTATTTTATTTTTTTTACACTTGTTATTAACATTAGTTCCAGTTCTAATGGTTAACATTAGTTAACAATTAAAATATTACTAAGGCATTTTTAATTTTTAATCATATTTAATGTTAATTTCAACATTTACTAATACATTGTTAAAATCAGAAATTGATTAATTGTTTGATTATTTATTACACCTGAGCTAACATAAACTAACATTATTAATAATATATATATATATATTATTATTATTATTATTATTAAATCTGTTTAGCTCATTTTTAGTTAATGTTATTTGAGCTTTCATCATTAATGGGAACATTTTTTAAAGTGTTACCATTTCAATTAACAAAAAAATTAAGAAGAAGAAAAAAAATATATGTATATATATATATTTTTTTTTTTTAAGACTTGCAAAAATGATGTTATTTCTCAGTATTTTTGTCTTGTTTTCCAGGACAAATATCTAAATATTCTTAAATCAAGATACAACTATTTAAGAGGCAACATAACATAACATATTCATATCTTATTTTCTAAAAAATAAAAATAAAAAATGCATTAAAATTAAGTGACTTTATGCTTAAAACAAGAACAAAAATGTCTGTCAGTGGGGTCAGAAAAATAATTTAGTTTTCCCTTTAAATTACGCAGATTGTCTGACCCAATTTGCACGTCTTTATTCTTGTTCTAAGCAAAATGTTAAATCAAAATTTTTCAATATCTTAAGTCATTTTGCTTCTGAAGTAAATGTATCTTGATTTAAGAATATTTAAGATATTTGTACACAGAGATACTGAACATAGCAGTGGGTCTTAAACGGACAAACACCAGTAATATTCTCTTTCTTAACTCTAATATAACAAACAGACTCGTTCAGTGTTCTAGCACTCCTGGGAACGAGGGGTTAAGCAGATTTTGGCAAGCGCTCCCGTCTTTCCTCAGCACAATCCCACTCTTTATTTCCATACCATTTGAGGAGCGCCGCCCGGAAGGCCGTGGAGCCACATTGTGTCCAGCAGAACTGAACAAAACCCACCGCGCTGGAATTGTTTTGTGGCCTCGCAGCAGTGTTTCTGACTGCGGTTTCTCCTTTGAGAGCGAGCGAAGCCTGCAGCATCTGCACCCACACACATCCTTCAGAGCAAGCTGCTGCGCTTCAGTCCAGCCCAGTATTAATCATGCATTAGACATTTCATTTCTTTACTGATATTATGATAAAACGTGAATGGAATATAAAAAAAAATATGTATGTAAAGTATGTGCATACAATCAGTATGTTACCATTGATATGTGAGCCTGCAGCACAAAAACAGGGATATTTGTAGCAATAGCCAAAAATACATTGTATGGGTCACAATTATACATTTCTCTTTTATGCCAAAAATCATTGGGATATTAAGTAAAGATCATGTTCCATCAAGATATTTTGTAAATGTCCTAGCGTAAACATATCAAAACTTAATGTTTGATTAGTAATATGCATTGCTAAGAACTTCATTTGAACAACTTTAAAGATGATTTTCTCAATATTTAGATTTTTTTGCATCTTTTCGCATTTATCTCGGCCAAATATTGTTCTATCATAACAAACCATACATCACTGGAAAGATTATTTATTCAGTTAAGAGTTTGAAAAATAGACACTTAAAACTGGTTTTGTGGTCCAGGGTCACATATTATTAATAGATAATAGTATAAAATTATTAATTATGAATAATATTTGTATTATTAATAAATTATATACAATTACATATACACTGCATATAAAAGCTTCATGCTTAAATGACAGAAATCATTTTTCTGTTCTGATATAATACTTTCAATAATAAGTGAATATGTAAATAATGTCAAAATAATAAGTGAATATCACTATGTACATTATTTAATTGAGAGATATATTATTAGTAACATATTACTAATATTATTATAGTAATATGAATAATATATATTCCGTTTTTTTAGTTTATTTATTAATTTTATTAAAGCTTTTCCTCTATAATGTAGTTTAGTTTTAATAGCCAAACAGGAATTGTGCATATATGCACTGTAAAAATGAATTAATAATAATAATAATTAAATAATAATAATAATGCATTTTAGATTATTGAAGTGTTTTACAAAAAAAATACTATTTTATTATTTTCTAATACTATTATTACTATTATATTCAATTTAATTGCAGCCTTTCCTCTTTAAAATTTCATGTTTAATTCTGTGTCGCTTGCCTTTTTTTTGTTATACATTTTACATGTACTTTCTATTATAATAACAATAATAAATTATGCATAATTACATGCAGTAACCCTAAACCAAACCCTAACCCTACAGTAAGTGCATGTAGTTAATTAATATCACTCAGTACTTAACTGTGTAGCGTCTGGAACACTCCAACACACAATATATATTTTGTTAGCTAGATTTCAACTAATGCAGCAACATTTATTATTTTCATCCAGTTTAAGATGAATAGCTGAAACTAATCATTATAAATACAAATTAATATATACTATATAGGCTAACATTAAAAAAACCCTAAAACTAATAAAAATATCAAAACCACACAAAACAAAATTACTAAAACTTGAACTAAAATTAAAGGAAAAACAGAAAATCAAATCAAATTCAAAATATTACCAAAAGTGCATCAAGTACATCATCACCATCAGCCTCCTACCTCCATTC